CTGGCAGGTCAGCTATGCGTTCGTTTATTGATTTTTTTGATTTTGTTGCAATCATCACTAAGGCACAGGTGCTATGTCAATTCCTCGTATTCTGATCATGATAAGCAATAGATTTTGCTTGGCAGTGTTAGTGACTTTTTTGTTTCTCTTGGCACGAGGAACCCAAACCCGAAACGCGACAACCTAAACCATACTCCTGTACAGTGTGTGTTCCGCGGGGTCCCTTCGCCCTTATCCCTAAACCCTAAGCCCTAATCTTATCCTAAACCCTGAACCCTAAACCCTAAACCCTAAACCCTAAACCCTAAGTCCTAATCTTATGAGATCCTTAAGGCAAGGGAAGGGGTTCTAAGGGGGGAGGGGAGGGTACTCGGGAACCTTCAGGAACCTTGGGGAGGAATGGGCGTTGTTGGGTTTTATACGTCTAGGGTTTAGGGTTTAGGGTTGAGGTTTTAGGGTTCAGGGTTTAGGGTTTAGGGTTTGAAGTTTAGGGTTCAGGGTTGTTGGTTATATACCTGCTGGAGCCCCACGTCCCTGCAGGTGGCGGGGCCTCCCAGCAAGATCTGCTGAACCGTGTTCACGAGCAGTGACCTCAGCATGTCAGTTTTCTTTGACCCTAAACTCTAAACCCTGAACCCTGAACCCTAAACCTAAACCCTAAACCCTAAGCCCTAAAGTTCGAAGTTCCTCATTATCATATAACCTACAAAACAGTAACCTACCTAAGCCCTAGACCCCCAGACCCTAGTCCCTAATTATCATATAGGCCACAAAATAGTAACCCACATGACTACTATCCCAAATCCGAGCAGTGTTAAGGGTTTAGGGCTGTTCGGGTATCGGGTCCAGGTTGGGTAGATTGATGTAAGGTTGGGGGTTTAGGGTTTTAGGGTTTCAGGGTTTAGGGTGTAGGGCTTTAGGGTTTTAGGGATTAGGGTTCAGTTTATATACCCGAAATCCTGAAGGTTAAGTTCTACCAGCGCGATGCTTCGGTTCTTACACAGCGGTACCAAAGCTCGGCCTATGCCCCAACCTCTTAAAACCTCAAGCCCTTCAAGTAAGCAGCACCAAACCTGAACCCGAAGCTGGATGTCCACCTTCCTCCTCCCCTAAACCCTGACGCTAAACCCAAAACTCTAAATCCGAACCCCAACCCTTAGAACCCCCGAACCCTGAACCGCGGTAGCGTTCGCAAGCACCAAACCTTGGGACTTGTCACAAGCCCTAAACTGTGAACCCCAATATAGGAGCCTAAATAATTACCTATAGTATTTTGGGGGGATCCTTATTATAACCATAGTATAACATTCCCCAAAACCCCATTCTAATTATTAAGGCCCCTACATGAAGCGCCATGCCCCGAAGCCTTAAACCCTAAGCTGAGCCCTAAAAACCCCAAAATCCTAAACCCTAAACCCCTAAATCCTAAACCCTAAGCCCCTAAACCCCAAAACCTAAAACCCTAAGCTAAGCCCTAAACCCAAAAATCCTAAACCCTAAGCTGAGCCAAAAAACCCACAAATCCTAAACCCTAAGCTGACAAAAAACCCAAAATCCTAAACCCCAAGCTGAGCCAAAAAACCCAAAAATCCTGAACCCTAAACCCTAAACCCAAAAATCCTCCCCCGGAAGAGAGGCTTTCGGCCGCCACGGCTGAGACGCTGGAGCTGAGCAGCCTCCTCAAGGGTTTTGGGGTTTAGGGTTTAGGGTTTAGGGTTTCATCAGAGCCTTTGGGGTTTAGGGGTTTGGTTTGAAGAGGCTTGGGTAGGATATCAGGTTATAGTAGAAGCCCAAAAGTTGGAAGCCCAATAGCCTCCATCCTTATAGAGCCATGTATCTTGAATTCCAGCACTATTTGTCCTTAAAATGATTTCCGGCTTTTTGGGGTTTACCATAGGCTTCTACTAGTATTTATTTGGGAGGCTGGAGGTTTAAAGTCAAGTGGTGTCTCGGTTTAGCAGGTTTAGCTTGAAGTTTGACGGTGTGCTATAGGAGCCCAACAGTTACCTATACTATTTTGGGGGTAGGGGACTTATAACTCCACGTATAACTACTCATGAACCTCCAGGTATGATCCCTGATAGACCCCTTATAGAGCCCTTTTAGAACCCCTTTATGGATCCCTTAAAGGAGCCTTTTAACTATCCATGAAGCCCAAAACCCTAAACCCTAAACCCTCCAAGTAGGGCCGGAAGCCCGGCAACTGTCGGGTTTAGGGTTTAGGGTTTAGGGTTTAGGGCTGAGAGGCCAGAGCAGTCGCGATCTGGTCTATGCCAGGCAGGAGGGGCATGGGTTTAGGGTTTAGGGTTTAGGGTTTAGGGTTTAGGGTTTAGGGTTTAGGGTTTAGGGTTTAGGGTTTAGGGTTTAGGGTATAGGGTTTAGGGTTAGGTCCGTCTGTTGACTGGGCTTTGGACTACCATGCTTTAGTACATTGTTTTCCTGGTTATTTCAAAGTCCAGTTGATTTTGGGAACTAGATATCTTTGTGGGTTCAGTAGGGTGTTTAAGGTTCAGTAGGGTGTTTAGGTTAGAGGTTCAGGGCTTACCAGCACCCCCCCAAGTACCCCTTAGTAGAGCCCTTATGGTCCTTAATCGTGGGTATTTCGGCAATTGGGGGGCGCTGGTAGTGTTCTGAGTTTGGACTTTCAGGTTGATGTATGCCGTAGGGGTACGGGGTATCAGGGAGTGGGAGGGTTTTTGGCAGGATCTGGGTTGATTTAAGGGGATTTAGGGTTTAGGGTTTAGGGTTTTGGATATAGGGTTTAGGGTTTAGGGTTTAGTTTCTACAATGGGTTTGCAGAGGGTTATCGGTGTCTTCATCATGATCTAGCTCAGAAGTTAACCTGATTTGATTTTGGCGATGGGGAACCGAACAACCAGGGTTCAGTTTTTATCCTAAGAGCACCCCTGGGTCGCATCTCAGACAGTCACCCTAAACCCTAAACCCTAAACCCTAAACCCGAAACCTTAAACCCTGAACCCCTGCCCACAAGAGTTGCCCCCCCAGTAGCCACTTGCGGGGTACAGGCGCTGGAACTTGCTAAGCCGCTACACCCTAACCGTAAGCCTAAATCCCAAATGTTTTAAACCCTGAGCGCTACACCCTCAACCCTCAGCCCTAAACCCTAAACCCTGAAGCCTACACCATCAAGCAACTCCCCTAAACCCTGAACCCCACCAACTCCCCTACTTGGAGGTTCATGGGTAGTTGTAAGTAGAGTTATAAGTAGGGCAGCTATAGTTATAACCTATATTCGGGGACTTATAACTCCACTTATAACTACCCCCTGAACCTCCAAGTATGATCCCTTATAGACCCCTTGTAGGACCTCTTATAGAGCCCTTTTAGAACCCCCTTATGGATCCCTTAAAGGAGCCGCATAACTATCCATGAACCTCCAAGTAGATCCTTTACCCTGGCCTTTCCCTTGGCAACTGCCGCCTCTTAAAGCGGTGCTCTAAGGGTTTGGGCAGACAGCCTTAAAGAGGGTTTAGGGTTTAGGGCTTAGGGTTTAGGGGTTTGGGGTTTAGGGTTTAGGGTTCTAAGCCCAAAACACTCATAGCAAGGAGCCGAGATCGTATACCTTTATTTATGGTCCTAAACCCAAAGTAGTAATACACGAGCCTGAATTATTAAATAGGAATCGTATGCCTTCATAGTTCGTTTGTATCGGAACAAGTCCTTCAAACCCGGACGGTGAGGTTTTGAAAAGCAAGTGAGACATCTTCAGCTGCCCAGAAGCAGAGCACAGGGAATGCAGATATCCATTCATCAAGTCCTTGCGCCGGAAACCGCAAACCTTGAACCCATCAAACCCTGAAACCAGACTAAAGCCCGCATAAATCCCTAAACCCTAAACCATAAACCCAAACATTTTAGTAAACCCCAAAAAGTTGGAAACCGGATTAAGCACAATTAGAGCTGGGATTCCCTGTGCATTACTCTTGAGGATTGAGGCTAGTGGGTTTCCAACTTTTCGGCTTATACCGTAACCCTGAACCCTAGCATTTGTTAGGTTTTGGGCCCCGAAACCCTTAACCCTCAAGCCGATAATTGCATCCCCGAAAGCTGAATTGAAAGCGCTTTAGAGCTTTAGGGTTTAGGGTCTAGGGTTTAGGGTTTAGGGTCCAGGCTGTGGGGTTTATGGTTTTATAGGGCCAGGGGAGCCCAGTACCCTTCGCTTCAAGAGACTACTGAGAGTCACGATGTAGGGTTCAGGATTTCCAGGGTGTTCAGGGCTTTCTGGTTTAGGGTAAGAACCTTTTCTCTCGGACCTTTTCAGCTGGGTAGTTACCGTTATAGGAGCCTTATAGAAGGGCATATACCTTATAGAAGCTTTCTAGAAGCCCTATAGACCATAAGCTCCCCACCTGTGGTGTCCTTTTACTTTCTGGGACCTGCAGAGGTTTGGGCTCCTTGTTTAATTGTTTAGGGTTTAGGGTTTAGGGTTTAGGGAGTTTCCGACAATAAGGGGTACCTTATTCTCGGAGGTTTCTTAAGGGCAGGAAGGCACTGGGTGCGGCTCCATTGTTGATGTGGATGGCGGAGATTCTCATCTGCTGGTTTCGGTGTGGTCTGGTTATGGCGGCTCGGTCTTCAGTCTGGGCTTTGGGATGAAACCCTAATACCCTAAACCCTAAACCCTAAACCGGGTTACCGAAAGATCAAACCGAAACCCTGCACCGACAGTGCTCCTTGTCGGATCTCGCCGCGCCACTGTCTGAGAAGGAACCTTTTTGTTCCTTTAGCTGGCCATGACAAAGAGCTGGGCGATATAAGCCTTAGTAAAAGATGCCCGGAAGTGGTAGCACATCTTTGGTGTAGAATGTTGTCGCTTCAGCTGCATTGTCGAAGACTGTTCTGGCCACCTACTTCTAGTGAAAGGTTTCTATACCCCACAACAATCAGAATACGTGGCACCCAATACAGTAGGGGCACGATTGCCAACACTCGTCCGTCCGACATCATCATCATCATCATTTCGATTTTTAGCTTCCCACATGGCTGGCGAGTGGTCCGAGCATCAAGACACCGCAACTGGAAAGAGCTACTACTCCAACAAGCTTACCAAAGAGACTACCTGGGAGCGCCCCCAGGCCCTCGTCAAGGCTGATTGGCTGGAGCTCAAAGACCCGGATAGTGGGAAGACTTACTACCACAACAAGTTCACCAACGAGACGTGCTGGCAGCGGCCAGCGATACTTGCGAAGGATGACTGGGCGCAGCACACGGATCCGAAAACGAACAAAACTTTTTATTTCAACAAGCTCACTCAAGAGACCACGTGGGAGAGGCCCGCTGTATTGGCTCGGGATGACTGGGCAGAGTACAAGGACTCAGCAACTGGGAAGATATACTATTCAAATAAGCTCACTGGCGAGACGTCTTGGGATAGGCCGGTGGTCCTTGCAAGAGAAGACTGGGTCAAGCACACAGATCCGAAGACGAATAAAACCTTCTACGTCAACCAGCGCACCCAGGAGACCACTTGGGACAAGCCATCTGTGCTTGAAAAGGATGAGTGGGTTGAGTACAAGGACCCGGCGACTGGACAGATGTATTTCTGCAATAAGATCACGAGAGAGACAACATGGGAAAAGCCAGCCGTGCTTGCGAAAGATGATTGGTCTGAGCACAAGGATCCAGCGTCTGGGAAGACGTGCCCAGCTTCACTGTCAAGCCCTAAATCCTAATCTTTCAAGCGGTTCCATTCTAGATAGGTGTTTTTGTCGGTTTTCTGTATACTTGCCAGCCCAAGCTCAGACCTTTTGGGTCTAGGGGACTCCAAGGTATTACTGCAACAGGGTTTAGGGTTTAGGGTTTAGGGTTTAGGGGACTCCAAGGTATTACTGCAACAGGCTCACCAAGCAGACTTGCTGGGAGAGGCCGGCGGTACTTGCCAAGTGTGACTGGGTCGAGTACAGCGACGCAGCTACGGGCAAGACCTGGTACTACAACAAGCATACTGAAGAGACTTCATGGGAGACTAGGGTTCTTGTTCAGGCACTACTTTTGGTTTAACCAGCTATGTATTTAGGGTCCTATAAGAAGGCAACCCCCAAACGGAACTATAGGTAAGTTAATGTTGTCATGCTTGGAGCAGCTTGCATATTTATGTGTGTGTTTATATGTATCTACAGATAGAATGCACATATTAGACAATCCTATGCTTGTTTGTTTGTATATGCTACCCCTCAACCCTAAACCCCAAACCCTAAACCCTAAAACCCTAAACCGTTGGCTCATACCCTTGTGCCCAGGAGAAGCCAGCGGTGCTTCGAAACGGCGAGGCATCCGAGCACACGCCGGCTCCGCAGTTTCCGGAAAAGCCGGCGCTGCCCAAGGAGGCCGAGATCAAAAAGCCGTCTTCGACGACGACCACTGCGACTGTCGGGTGCTTAGTAGGTTTAGGGGTTAGGGTTTAGGGTTTAGGATTTAGGGTTTAGGGTTTAGGGTTTAGGAATGGGTTATAGGGACTACCATAAGGGACCTTAAGGGTTTATCATTCCCTACTAAGCACCAGACAGGCGAGTACGAACGCGCCTGCGAGTACGGCCGCGACTGCGACTACGACCGCGAGTACGTCGTCGCAACCAGAAGTTCAATCTGCCTCACAGGCCGGATGGGGGGTTCCTTTACAGGGATCCTTAAAGGGTTTTACAAGGGATGTATAATATAGGATTCTAAAATACGGGCCTCTTAATAACTAGAATAGGGTTTTGGGGCCCAATATACTATAACTATAATTATAATAAGGAGCCCACAAACTAGTATTGGTACTTATTTTTGGCCCCTACACTACCAGGCCGTGATCACGAGATTGGAAGAATTAGGAAAATAAAATTTCCTGTCTATGATAAATTGGAGCCGGAATCGCATACCGTTTCGGGCCGTGCTAGGCTGCCGTGGTTGGATACCTTGTGAAAGATGTAAGCATAGAGTTTAGGGTTTAAGGGTTTAGGGTTTAGGGTTCACCTTGCTTCATGAAGTGCCAAAGCCTTGCTCCCTCACTTCTTAAGGCACGAGCAAACCTCAACCCCCAAGCTATGCCAACGACGCGATCCCGCAAGCCTCGCCCAAAATCCTCAACCCCTGAACCTAAATCCTAAATCCGTAGTGTGTGCCTGTAAATGCAGGATCTACCCAGCACAATATTAAAAAAAAAAAAAAGCAGCCTAAATCCCGGACCCTACGCCCTCATTCCCTAAACCCGAAACTCTAAACGACCGAAGAAAAGGCCTCTTCCTTTAGCACCCCTTTTCAATCCGCCGAGGCAGTCCCAGTGAAATCCAAGGACCTGGGAGATAGGGTTCAGGGTTTAAGGTTCAGGCGTTTGGGCTAGGCTGTTTGAAGTTTATGTTTTAGGGCTTAAGGCTTTAACCCTAAACTCTAAACCCTAAACCCTCAACCCTAAACCCTCAACCCTAAACCCTAAGCCCTCAACCCTGAACCCTAATCCCTGAACCCTAAACCCTAAGCCCCTTTTCGGGGGGCCTCGGGATTCTGAAGTGTCGGGTTTGGGATTCAGGTCGTGGGCTCCATGGGTTCGGGCTCGGCGAGTCATATAGGGGCCTTAATACTTACCCATACTATTTTGGGGGTTCCTTACTAAATTTTTAAGGCCCACCCTAAACCCTAAACCCTAAGCCCTAAAACCCTAAACCCTAAACCTTAAACCCAATACCCTAAACCCTATGGCTCGGAAGCCCTTTGAAGACAGCGACTGTGGGATCAAGGCGACACATCAGCTGCCCTTCATGGCTTCCCGTCGGGTGCTATGCCGGGGGTTTAGGGTTTAGGGTTTAGGGTTTAGGGTTTAGGGTGCTATGCCGGGCTCCTTGGGTTTAGGGTTTAGGGTTTAGGGTGCTATGCCGGGCTCCTCGGGTTTAGGGTTTAGGGTTTAGGGTGCTATGCCGGGCTCCTTGGGTTTAGGGTTTAGGGTTTAGGGTGCTATGCCGGGCTCCTTTGGAGCAAAGAAAGCCGATCCTCACGGCTTCCTCCCCACTTCAGGTGTCCGGATGAATATGGACGGCTCGGAGTGCAGTCAGGTAGAGCTTCTTCGCTTTTGGGGCTACCTATTCTTGACAGGGTCATGAGCATCTACACACAAGAGAAGGTTTCTATATTCTGGATTTGGGGTTTCTTACTTCAGTGCCCCAAACCCTAAACCCTAAACATAAACCCTAAACCCCTGAACCCCAAACCCTCCCCCGTCGCGGTAGATATTGAGGATCCCTTGGATCTAGAGCCACGCCACATGTGTTTTGCAAGTGTGCCTGAGGGTCCTAAGTACTGCTGTGGAGGATACTTCCCCAAATCATAATCGTAATTCCTAATACAGAAACCCTACATTCTACCATATAGGTACTTCGGACCCTTTGGGCGCCTGATTCGCAACCCGGAAACCGCAGCTCCTGAAGCTCTATAGACTATAGACGCCTCATAATCGCCATAACCCGGCGTCATTGTGCACTTTTTCTTCAGCAGCATATGAAGCTCCGAAAGTATTGGGGGCCCTAAGCCCTATACCCGAATCCTTCAACCCAAAACCCCAATGCCCGAAACCCTAAATCCTGACACTCCTACCCCTTGGGACCCTGCCTCAGCTTTATAGGATTTGAGATTTTTTGCACACCCTATAAACCCTAAGCCCTCAACCTTAACCACCTAGGACTCTCTGTTTCTCAGGTATACTGCTTGCCTTTCGGCTGCTTGGACCTGGTACAGCATTGGGCTCTACCTGTAGCCGAAAGACCTACCTTGTTCAGGTTCCTGATTATGGTTTCTAATCCACTTCCCCCAAAACGCAGGGTTTTTGGGCCACAGGTAGAGCTACTACTACTGCGGCTCCTCGAAGGGATCTATAAGTATAAGGGTTCCCTCTAGGCGATCTACAAGGTTTCTGCGAGGGTTCAAGGGATCATCGTATACATTTTGTTTTTTAACCCTAAACCCCAAACCCTAAACCCTAAACCCTAAACCCTAAACCCTAAACCCTCAACCCTCAACCCTCAACCCTCAAACCTAAACCGGTTTTAGGGCTTTGAGTATTAAATTAGCGGGCGTTGGGATTCAATTAGTTCGACCTCAAGGTCTCCGAAGTTTCACACCGGAGGCTTCGGTGGTGAGTATCTTTCCGAGGCCAATGTAGGAGTTTCCGAAAACAAGGG